GCTTTTTATAAGGCTTTTAGCGTGCCAGATTTCAGCCTGCCGCAAAGTGGTAACACTGTCGCTGCTGGTCCGCGACTGCTTATTCGTCAGACCGCAAAGTCTGCTTACTTCGCAGCTAATCTTCACCGAAGGTCGTTCTACCGTTTGCAACCTGTCGATGAATGATATCTAATGAGTCAGTCTTTGTCAAAAGTGCATTCATGTCTACAACAAATGCTCAATTTGGGGACTTTATCCTGCTTATAAATTGTGTAATGCAGGACAACGTAGCTGAGCACAAAAGGTAGACTTTATTAAGAATATAATATTTGACACATTTATAAGAAGAGGATGCGCAATAAAGCAGATAAGAAGTCATGGTTATCACAGAGAGAACAAATGGCTGGCAAAACGCGAACTAAAAAGAAGGCGCTAATTGCTCTACAAGTAGTATCCACTAATGAGCACGGAATACTTACTAACTAAAGCACGTATTCCGGATGTTTTCGCTGAAGAGCAAAAAAATGAGCACATAAAGTTGTGTAATAACCCTGTGGGGCAACCAGTGGCGGGAGAGCGGACTCCTGATAGGGACGGGGACATTAAGAGGCAGAATTACTCAACTTGTCATCTGCTGACGTTGAACTCGATCTTAATGAGGCAGTCAGTCTGCGGAATTCATGGTAGGCTCTCGCCTGATAGGACTCTTTGGCCTTCCTGGGAGTGTTTGAGAAGCATAATTCAATAAAAAGGCCAATGCCAATCAGTACATGTTCCAGACAGACTAAGCTACTAAGGCTCCAGCCAGTACCGCAGCCCAACAGTGCCACATTGGCAAAGAGACCGAGCCAGGCTTGAATGGAGAGCAGTAGCAGCCAGATGTCCTGACCTCGTTGAATCAGTTCCGGCAGGGGACGTCGAAAGATCTGCAGGAGTTTGAAGGAGTCAAAGTAGGCCTCTACCCAGGCACAGAGGCAGGCCATCGTGGCCAAATAGGGTGGTACAGCAACAGCGAAGAGGACGAGGTAGCCGTTTTCTAACACCATTTCCAGGTAATCATCGAAGGGCTCGTAGGTCACGCTGAATTGGGCATCGTGCAAAGCAGGCGAGAGAGCGCTTGCTGGCTCGGCCTGCTGGTCACCCGCATCTGCTGTCTTCGTCGTTTTCTCCTTCTTCTCCTCCTCGTCCCCTTTCTTACTCCGAGCGGCAACCTTGCTGTCCTTGTAACTGCGGAAACGGAAGCTGGTCCAGGGCACCAGACACTCGGCAATCAGTCG